TCCCCAGAGGCCTCTGTCCCTGTGTATTGGAGTGTGGGTCTTTCAGGGACTCTCGGCACTTTTCCTCTGCCTCCGTCTCTAGATTATGCTCCCTCATTTGACTTTGAATTTTTGTCTTTGGTTTCTTCCTGTTTGTGTCTCCGTCTCTGCCTCTCACCATATCTTCTCTCTCTCTCTCTCTCTCTCTCTCTCTCTCTCTCTCTCTCTCTCTCTCTCTCTTCTCCAGAGGGTGTAGGGTGAAACATTTTTACTTCACTGGTACATTTTAGATATACACAATGATAGCGTTCATCATCAGGAATCTGTGCCTGCTTCTTCTTTTCTTCCCATTCTCCTCCCGTCCCTCTTACTCCTCCCATTTTATCTACAAAACCTTGCTTCCATGTTTTCTTTCATTCTTCTTATTTCTTGTCCCTTTTTTCCTTTTGCCATTTTATTCTTAAATGTCATGTCTTTGAAATTTGCTGTGTTTTTTTGCAATTATAGAATATTTATTATACGGATCCTAAAGTTTCTTCAGAAATCTTTGATTTGAACCTAGATTTTTATGAACTTTACCCCTGAAAAAGATATTGGGAACATACTTAAATTGTTTCCAAACCAAGTAAAAGTTTTCCAATAGCTGAATTATGTATCAATTTTTAAAGATGATAGGGGAAGTGGGTAGGGCAGGGGAAAAGTAATAAGGGAAAAATATAAGAAAATAAAAAAATGCAAATAAAGTATTTGTAAATAAGGAAGGGAGGAGAGGGTGAAGGGAGGGCAGGGACAAGGGCAAAAAATGAGAACCAAGACCTGTTCTGTAAAGGTACAAGCTCCCAATGATGAATGTAACTGTACTATGTACCTAAAATGCACCAATAAACTCAAAGAGAGAATAAAATGAAAAGTTTAAAGATGAAATTAAATTAAATTTAAAATTTGATTGATCTGGGTGTGGTGTGCTTATCTGTAATCCCAGGACTTTGGGAGACTGAAGGGAGAGGATCGTGATGAGTTCAAGTGCAGCCTGAAGTACATAGTGAGACCCTGTCTCAAAACAAAACCGGATAGAGCAAAACAAAACATACATGCTCACACAAATACAAAAAAAAGTTCCACAGGACACAAGACAGGTATTTAATGGACACACGTAGCCGTTGGTTAGCATGTCAGACAAATACATCTCTATTTGTGATCTTGGGTGAGACTCTCAACTCTCTGGGCTTCACTGTCTCCATTTAGAAAATGGGGAAGGATACTAACAGCTACTTCAAAGTGTGAGTAGTTTGTGTAAAGTGCTGCATTCTTCTCACCAGGAAGTCTCAGGCTGGAATAAAGATCCATTTCAGTGTCAGATGACCACAAACATCTGGGCCCTGGTCCTCAGATCAGGAAGGTCTGTGATGGCACCAGTCCCAGGTCAGAAAAGTGCAGGTTCCACCTCTAAAAGATTGTGTTTCTATGTTGCTCTACAGGGATCAATGAATGGGATATGACTCAACCATCCAGGTCAGAGTCCTGGGTTAAGCAAGTGTTTGCTTCACACGGCACAGATCAGGCTGTCCCGTATCCTCCCATACCTCACCTCATTTCCCTTAAAGAGAGGGAAGTGTCTTTAAAAAGAGAGAGTTCAAAAAGAGAGAAATCAGACCTGGTATGGGGTACACACCAGTAATCCCAGCACGTTGGGCATCTATGTAGGAGGGTTGCAAATTCAATCCCAGCCTTGGCAAATTTGTGACCTAATAAGACCCTATAGCAAAAAAATGATGTGAAAAAGGCCTGAGTGCATAGCTCATTGGAAAGGCCTTGGATTCAATCCCTGGTAAAAAAAAAAAAAAAGAAAAAGAAAAAAAAGCAAATGGAAGGTTGAAATCCCAGCCGGACCAATACAGGTAGACATGAGAACTGTCATTCTCCCTTGTGCCAGATCTGGCCTGCTGCTCCCAGGAGCTCTGTTGGTGCAGGCTCACAGTGATTGTAGAGTAAGACCAGAGCTCAGGGGACTTCAATAAAATCAGATCCCATTTGCTGTGGTGTAAACATCCTCTCCAAAGCTCATGTTGACTTTTAATTGCCTTTGTACCATTTTAAGACATTGCAACTACCATGGTAGCTTGGTTCACAAACTTAGTCATTTTTTGATTTTGGAAAAGATGGTCATGTTTCTGTTTGTGTGGGAAGGATGGCCATAATTGTGTTTGTCACACTAAGCAGAGTTTTCAAACAAAAACCAATTTTGCCAAACACTTCTGTTTGTGACCCAAGTTGCAAATGGTACCTTTGTTATCAAGGTACCATTATATCTAATCTATCTATAGTATTTCCTCCTTGTCCATGGGGGGCACATTCCAAGACCGTCAGTGGAATTATAAAAATTTGGAGACTACTGACCCCATATGTACTGTATTTTTAATATATTACTGTACAATAAAGTCTAAGTTATGCATTAAACAAATCAAGAGAATAATATAAATACTTAAAATAGGAGAGTTACATCATAATAATGTACTAAGTTATATGAGTGGTCTCTCAAAATACCTATTGTTCTCTGCTTCCCTTACCTTCTCCCTGGGATGATGTGGGATGGTACTATGCCCATGTGATCAGTTGAGGTGAGGTGAATGATGCACAAATTGCGTTGCAACCTTGGGCTCCTATTGACATGACCATACACCAGAGAGGTGATTAGCTGCCTTGGGTGATCCCAGAGTGTTGAGCCGTGAAGATTTCCATGATTATACATTGGTAGTAGACAATGCTAGGGATTGGCCATCCTTGATAGTTCAAAGTTCTCAGTAATGGAAAAATCTTCTGGAAAAACATTGCAATCAAAAGTTGTCTCCTCCTTTTAAACTAACTGTAGTATAGCTGTGGATGATGCCGTCCTTTGGTGCCTGCCTGGGAGGCGTTAATGCTGCAGTCCATGGCATCCTATTCCATCATTTTGTCCTTTAATACCTGTGCACTTTGCAACACTTCTGCAAATTGCAGTCATGGCCCTTTTGCTGGTTACACTTCAGTTTCTTCTCTGTCTTCCTTTCCACTGTAGTTGATTTAACATTTTTCCAATTCCTTGTTTCTCAACACTTCTTGATGGCCTTCAATATGTCTTTCTACTTCTTCATTAAGCACATGGGAAAATCCACCTCAAATGAACTTCAGTTCATTGTGAATCACCCAGCCTCCGGTATTGTGTTATAGCAGAAAACAGACTAAAACACAGTGGGCTTCAGTGTCTAAAGGGGAAGCAGAGACACTGAGGAAAAAGAGAGAGAGAGAGAGAGAGAGAGAGAGAGAGAGAGAGAGAGAGAGAGAGAGAG